AGGTACTGGGTTTGGTGTTGGATATATAATTATCAATTGACAAATAGGAACAGTAGAGTAACTGTGAAATTATAGCCTGCTTTAATGTGCATATACAATATTCTTAATGAACTAGCTAATGAGAAATGACATGATTCTGCATGTTGACCTTTGAGACCTGTTAGCTACACCAAAAACTATTGAGTGTGTATTACTGTTTTATAATTATCTACGTTTGAGCCAAGTCGAATGAAAAACATCACCATTGGTTTTTTGTATATGAATAATAACAGAAAAATGTGGGCTTTTCAGTAATTACTCCTTAGTCTGTACTCGCCCCTGAAGATGTGAATTACATGAAAGCGCTTGTGAACTTCGTGTTTTCTTGTTTCCTATGTGGTTATCAATAAATGCACACACACACATATATGTATGTATGTATGTATGTTGATAACCACATAGGAAATAAGAAAACAGTACTGTATATACAGGGTGTAGTTCCCCACAATTGTACATACAGTGCGATATATATTGAATACAAGTACAGAAGGTGCCATAACAAATGAGTATTAAAATTGCCAGTTTGCATATACTGTATCGCTATCTTAACTTTCAGTGTCACAAACCAACCACCAACATCACAACTCTATACAGTAGAACGTCAATTTAATGCAAATCGATTTAAAATTATTGATTTAAAGGGACACCCACAATTAAGGACAACGTATAATTTTAAATAGAATCTTTCCTATTTTACTCGAAACAAATCTGGCGCATCATATGGAAATGCCCACTATTTTAAGTTTCCTGCCTAATTTTTCCCGCCAGATGCCTCTCTGGGCACACTACAAGGCTGCCTGCCACCCTCCCACATCCTCAGTTCTCGCTCTGACGTTCTAGTGAACGGACATACTGTGTGACACTATCACCTTCCACCATGTGCATCGACCATTGCCACTATGTCCAAGAGGCTAAGACCAAGAAATCTAGGCAAGCAATTACACTGGAGCAGAAAAACAAGATGCTGGAAGGCGATTGGTGTGCGGCGACAGTATGACCACCCTCTCACATCAGCTGATCGCTAGTAAACAGACCATTTCGCATCCCGTAATTTTAGCCGTGTTAATTTATGAGTGTTTTTTCAGCATAATACTACAAAAAACAATGTTTTGTTTATTCTAGGATATGGGCTGAGGTGCATCTGGGTAGACGATCAGTCGGGGTAGGGGGAGGGCCAGTGACGCGCGGCAGCAGACAGTACAGTGCAGTACCACGCAGTAACAGTACCGTCCAGCTCTCAACTCGACTGCAGGGAGTTCTTGCTGCACATATATCATTACGCCTTATAATTTTTCTCATATTTATTAGTTAATGAAAATCTTTTTAGTATTTTGTGTTTCTCTCAAGTACCAAATTAAATTATTCCATTGAAACAACACTTCGATTTAGTGCTAATTCGATTTAAAGCGACCTCTTTTGGAAAGTATCTTGAGTTAAATCTATGTTCTACTGTATAATACATATATAATATTATATACCCAGGTTTGGTCATCAGAGGTTTCCATGATAGACTATGATCACTGGATATTAGCAATCTACTGTATTGTGTATACACCTGATGGCACCAAGAGAGTTACTGGGTACAGGACACTCCCAATCAGATGTTGATGCAATATTTACTGTCAAAATATACTTAATGACACGACTAGTCCTTCTAAGACATAAAAAAGACGTTCCTCAAAATATACCAAGAAATTTGTTGTACATAATTTGTACTTAAGTTAAAGAAATTTGTGAAGCAGTGTACAGTACAGCACTGCTTGAAGGTACCTGTAGTTAAGCACATTCCTAAGTTCAGATATGAATATTAACTGAGGAACAACAATTGAGTAACAGTTATCCATTACAGATTGGCCTCAATTGCTTAGAACATGCATATGTTTCTTTATGCAATAATGCTTGGTAAATGTCCTTAAAAAGATCAAAACAGATCCCATTTTCAACAAATTATAATGAAAGCACAGAAAAGCCCTGAGTTATGACAGTCTGACTTTTGATGATTTCCTCATAAAACCTTCATAAAAGTAGCACTTGATTAATTTTGAGTTAAAGTGTTGTTCAGTCAAGGGTTATAATATTTTAATTACCCCATTCAGTCCTAAACTGGGTCTATTTTGTGCCTTCCAGCCTGTTTTTTTTTTCATTTTAATAACTTATGAATTCATAAAATGCTGTAAACAGTACTGTTAAAAACCATAAAACATTAAAAAAAGAAGATAAACTTCAGTTAGGTGCTGTAGTCCCTTTATGTTTCCTTAGTGGTGCAATAATTTGGGCCACTCACTATGTTTACCTGGCATCTCCCTGTGTTGACACATATACATACAGTAAAATCTTGTATTTCGCCAGTAACATAGACTGGAAAAATTGTGCCAAATTCAAATTCGCCAAATGCAAATACATAAACTAATGGGAAAAATAACACTATCGACTGGCCACTCTACATCAACCTCTGATTTTTCCATTTATATCCTCCAAATGATAAAAATTCCACTTTTATTGACCTGATTGTACTTTCCGGAAACTAGCTTTTAGGCCTTCCTCAAGTAACTTAATCACACGCTACTTATCCTGCATCGAGTATTTGGCAAACTTAACTCCCTTATGATAGGTTCCTCCTTTTCCTTATTTGGCCACTTAGGTGGGTCTGTCCCACCCCCACCAACACCAGTAGGACCCCCAGTAGAGGTAGAGGTCACCCAAAAAAGCACACAATAGCAGCCCAGGTGGTCGGTAGGATGGCGAGGGAGTAACTGGTATGAGGACTGTGATGTCATACAAGACGATGACCAATTGTTCTGTCTCTTGTACTGTGAAATGATTGCCAAATGGCAACCCAGTATTTATTTATTTTACCTATTATAATTATATTTATTTACTGTATTCTTCACATATACTGGATCAGTATAAAGGTGACACATTTCATCCGGGCAATGATGAAACTGACTCAAGAGAAGTGTGTGGCTGCTGTCTGTATGCCCTGACATCACACGGGGGGAGGGAGAGTGTGGCTGGCCAGTTACCAAAAATTATATTTATGCTGCAACATAAAATATTACAGCGTTCAGCTGGCTGGATCTCGCGAAACTCACGATATTTTACGCCAAATATAAGACTTGGTTACATTAGGTAGTGTGCACAAAATATGAGATCTTACTGTACTGTATTTGCACTAAACTGTATCATTGTCATAATATTCCTCTTTATCACTGTTTTCCATCAAACACTGTTTTCCTTTGCAGCCACCAAACACAAGGGCAAGACTAAAAGGATTATTGTTAAAAGGCCAAAAACTTTTTTAAGATAAAATAATTTGTCATTAAAAAATTCTCTAAAAAACACAAAACTATTTAAGATAGTGCACATAGAATCATTTCAGTCACCCATTTGGTGCCACATTATACTGATGCTTATAAGTTCTCCTCTTTGAAAATTCTCTTAAAAATTATTGAAAAGGAGCAACCAAGTGATATCAGTTGTGCTGGTACAAAATCTAAAAGAAAGTGTCAATTCATGTGCCAAATTAGAGGTAACTGTTACAGTAAAATGCTTCGACAAGTGAGAGGCAGTAGATATTTTATCCTCAATATCCATGTGTTCTTCTTTACCACTAATATACAGGTACAGTACTGAAGTGAGTGTTAGTGTTTATTTTTCATTAATACACACTGGAGTGAACATATTTCCTGTTCATTAAAGAAATATATACTGTATACAGTGGTCCCTCAGTTAACGAGCACAATTTGTTCTAGAAGATTGCTCGTTAACCGAAAAACTCGTTAACCGAAACCATTGTTTCAATAGGTTTTTGGGTAAATGGTTCAAGCTCACTGAAAATTGCCTAAAATCAACAAAAAAGGTAGCAAAGTACACTTGCTTTGAGGGTGTATATAGAAGGCTCCTGGATGATGATGATGATGATGATGATGATGATGATGATGATGGGAATTAGAATGGGGGTGGAGGAAAAGGGAGAAGAGAAGGAATTGGGGTGGAAGAGAAGTCACCCCATGGCGCCATTTCACCCATAATATTTTAGTTCTCTTGGTGTAATTCAAGATTATTTTCTTTAAATCAACACTGCACTGCATTATATATAGTCAATATGTAAAATAAATTTAAAATCGACCAATTATTTGCTTGGAAACACAGAAAAAAGCATTTAGTTGAAGAGAGTCTGAAGCAAGATGTTACCTTCACTGAAAAGACACAGAGACTGACGCCTGTATGAGGTGTTGACAGGCTGGATGGCACGCAAAAAACTTACTTCCTATACTTCAATTATGTTCAATTATTGTTAAAATTACTAAAAAATTTAATATAAAACTTTAAAAATTATTGAATAGTATAAACTTCTTGATATTTACTAAAATAGTAAGGAATTTCAGCCCTAGAACCAATTACTGTATTGGCGGACTAATACTACAGCTGGTGGACCGCCAAATGCAAGTGAAAACATGTTGAGGTCGGCTCGTAAAAAACTCATAATCAAGGGATTGCTCGTTAACCGAAGTTAAAAATCTTATGGAAGGTAACTCGTTACGGTAACCGAAATCTCGTTAGCAAAGGCGCTCATTAACCGAGGGATCACTGTATATATATTTTGTATACTGTATACCTGTGTTGTACAGTATGGCTTTTATTCAAAAGAAACCCACCAGACATTAAGATAATCTGTGCTGTACTGTACACTAATACTGACACTGTAGCTGGAAAGGATTGTTCTTGGCCTCACCGGGTTTACGTAAGTTATACACTATTATTCCCTCCAGGTATATCTGATTAAAAACTATTAACGCATTTCAAAAGTTACTATTTTCCATTCAAACACTGTCAAATATTACTGAAACTTAAGTCATGGAATATTTAACCAGGCTATTCCTCCCTGAGTCAGGTGTGGACTTATAGGTTGTGTGGGGCTTGTTGTCATATAGCAACTCCCATCATTTACTCTGTGATCGGTAGATTGTTACTGTATTATTTGCTCTATTTACATCAATTTATAGCATTAAGTGAATTAACATTAAAGGTCCAAGACACAATGATTCAAAATATGATGGTAAATTGGCAGATATAAGTCAGGGCTTAACTGTACTGTACTCTATAGTATTAATATTATTTGAAGACACATGTTGCACATGAGTTAACACTGTAATCTGGAGTTGACAAGTACATGTCTACACAAATTAGATTATATTTGGGAAGGAAATGATTATGGTAATGTAACATTCTTTTGCAAGTATCTGTCACTTTTCTGGAGATAGTACAGTTTTTTAGGCAGGATTATTGTTCTAATGGTTCTACTACCTGCACTTATTACACTTGTATTTGAAGAGAATAATTTAGAAATACAGTACCAATTTGTATATACTGTAGTACTGTGCAGTAATATGTAATTGTATACTGCAGTTAATAATGTATTCTACTACTGCATTCCCTGATAATAGTCAGAATTCTGACTAAACGAATTACTGGGAATGTTATGCTGCACACATAGTAATGCCGTATGCATAGCGTGCTTATCTTTACCTAAATTAATTCACACTAGAATAAGCATCAATGACACTCATGTGTAGTACATGGGAATCATTATTGCAGGGGCAGGCACCTGGGGGTAAGGTTCCTTAAACACTACGAGATGACAGCTCTCAGATAACAGTACAGTAGAGTATCCTCCCTCTCTTACACAGAGTTAAGAGCAATTTCTTCACTGCCAATTGATAATATTTTCCTCTGCCAATTCTTTGGTTTTCTTTTAAAAATATATGTACTGTAGTTGTTCCAGAACACTTTTTCCCTATTCTGACTCATAATTTCATAGATAAAAACTGTCTTTTATTTCTGTAAAATATACCTGCACTGTACTATACTGCTTTAATAATACAGTAGTGAGCAAATAATGAATCTTTACCCAGGTAATAATAAAAAAAAAAAAAAATAATAATAATAATGGTAAAGTATTCCGTCTTACGTTTCTCAAAATGGAAATTTTTAATTTGTAAAACAGAATATGAGAATCGTTTCCTACCAATTATTGCGTGTGAGACTTAAAAAATAAATAAAATAAATAAAAAATCATAGATATGCATATTTAGCTTGAGATAGCAAATAAGATCAAACAAAATCCACCCCATTTGAACCAAAAAAGGAGAGTTAAATGACTGAGTTTCTTCCCCAGGATAAAGGTAACTAACCAGAAAATTTAGTACTGTATCGGATAAATTCGCCGAAAAATTCTGGCTCCGTCATTTCCTCCCCAGAATCTTCCTGATAAAAGGGAATACCTGGGATGTCTATGGTCCCATTTAGCCCTAAGGCAGCTATAATCTCCTCAGGTGACAAATCTAGAATCCTTTCATCAGTGTCTTGGTAAGCACTGGGGTTTGTCTGCTGTGGTGAAGATGTGGCCATTACACTCCTGGAAGATGAACAAACATATTATTCTTCCCAATATACCAGACATTATAAGTTAACTACCCTATACTGTACACTGTAACTGTAAACCTGGATTAATGTAACCCACAGGGTACCGCGGAAAGTGAGAAACGCGTAAAGTGAATAACATAACATATGGGATTAAATGAAATAGAGACCAGCTGACCCCCAAACTCCACTTTTTCCAACACAATACCTATGTTCTAGTAAAAATAACATCTTAATTTTATGATGGTACATGCACACAATTAATACTTAAGAGAAATAGAGAAATACAGTCGCCAAGTTAATGTCCATTCAAATAATGGACTCAACTCCCTCCCCCTCTTCTCACACTACACTCGCTGGCTCTTCCCTCTCTGAGAAATTTTGGGGGGAAAACCAGGTATAGTAATAAATAATACCTCAAACTAAGGTTAGGATAATATAATTGACATTGCTGGATTCCTTGTAAGACCAGGAATATTTTGAACATAAATGTCATATATTTTGCACAAAAGATAACATATTTACTCAGAGTAAGTCCGACATAGATAATAATAAAAAATAAAAAAATAAAAAAATAAATAAAAATTCTACAATGAAATACAGTACAGTGAAAGTAATAAATAATGAGGAATGGATACAGTGTGACTGAGCACTTACCTTTAATGTACAGTGAACCCTCACTTTACGCAGTTATTTCAACCCACGGCGGCCCGCGTAAAGTGAACAACATAACATACGGGATTAATTGAAATAGAGACCGGGCCGACCCCCAAACTCCACTTTTTCAGACACAATACCTACGTTGTAGTAAAAATAACTTCTTAATTTTATGATGGTATGCACACACAATTAATAATTAAGAGAAATATCAATAATATTAGGTTTTTTAACACTTACATTAGTAGAAAAGATGGCTGGGCACACAGGGATGGGGGGTTGGTTCCGAGGCAGAGGGCAGATTATTGGCCCTCACTTGTATCAATTGTATCACTATCCACCACAGAGCTTGCAGGGCCTCTTTGTCAAACCCCTCAAAGTCCATATAAGTCCATATCCTCACTATCATTATCACTATCACTGACTTGGACCGGCTGTGGTGGGTGGCGGGTGAAGAACTCGGTAATGTTTTGATGACTGGGCGACCTTATGTGCACCCTGCTCGCGCCGCTCTCCGCGTAAAAGGGTACACACACCGCGGAAAGTGAGCATTCCGGTTTCGGCAGGGTACCGCGTAAACGTGGAAACACGTAAAGTGGGACCGCATAAAGCAAGGGTTGACTGTAGTCAGCTGAATGCACATGGGGCCCCCATAATTTTCTAATTATACATGAAGCCTACATTAACTGGAAACGTTTCGGTATAGAAAATACGTGCGTCATTTGAAAAAAAAAGAAAATTGAAAAAAAAAAATGGTCACAACTGCAGCGGTCGTAAGTCCCGACGGTCGTAAGTCGAAGCAGTCGTAAGTCGGGGTCTAGCTGTATATATATATATATATATATATATATATATATATATATATATATATATATATATATATATATATATATATATATATATATATATATATATATATATATATACAGTATATATATATATACTGTATGTCTTTAACCCACTCAGCAATAAAATGCAATTCAAAAACATTTTGCAATTATGGAACAATTAAAAAAACCCTTGACCAAATGCATAACAGAACACATCTAATATAGTTACAATAGTAGTAAGAATGGATGAATGAAACAAATGTGTGTGTGTGTGTGTGTGTGTGTGTGTGTGTGCACTTGAGAAAGGCATGCATGAAAAAATTAACAAAAGGCTTATCTGGTATACTATTGACACATGTACAGGTTCATTTAAGAGCCTGTGTATGCCCAGTACAGTACCTGCCAACAAGGTGTAGTAAAGATCTGATCAACCTGCTAAGAAACTGATAAGTGCTAAAGAGGATAAAGGAAGTACCCCTGTACTGTATATATACAGCCACTCCTCGACTTACGACCTACTCGACTTACGAGCACCCCAGTCGTACCAAAAAAATTTCAAATTACGAATTTTCGAGTTCCGACATTAGTGATTGCGCTGTGTACTGACAAAATATTCGTTTGTAATGCCCTTTAAAATGACTGGCAAGCATAAAGTGAGAGTTTTGTGGTGCTGAGAAGAAAAAGAGACACCCATTTTAGAATTTCTATGTATTATCTTCTCATTTTCGACTTACGACCTGGATTTAGGTCCCTAACCCCATCGTAAGTCAAGGAGTGGCTGTATATACTTTACTGTATACAGTTCTGTTTCTTATAAAGTTTCACTGTAATTTGAAACACAAGGTAATACTTACTCATACTCATTTATGGGTGCTTGAGGTGGCTGTGAAGCATTCTCGGTGTGGTCAGTGTCACTACCACCACCATCACTATCCTGTACCTCTCTCTCTAACATTCCTGAAGGAATGTTCCATTCTGGTGAAGTAGACGTATTGCCAGTACCTGTACTACCATTCCTGTAAAACATGAATTATAACAAGGAACTGTAAGGAAAAATTTCTGTCTTGACAAAATAAAGACAATACAGTATAAGAATTTTAAAAGTTATTCTCAAAACATGTACCATTACATGAATGTCTGGTTAATGGCAATAAAAAAAAAGTGTACAAGTATTGTGCATGAAGTGTAAACAAAAATCTGTGGACAACATGTGGTTAACTGTGTGAGGATGGACCATTCATATATTGAATCTAAATGGTCCATCCCTCTTAACAATCTTCAAGAGCGAGGTGCTTTCCCGCCTGGAGTAATGTCACCCCGTCTGGTCCCCGAGATATGCTAGGGACTGTCAGTTGATTGAAAATGAGGAAGGAGGGCTACCTGACTGGTGCTGGCACTTTGGCACCTTAGCTACCCAGAGAGATTAGAATGCTGAAATTGCCTTACTTATACTACAGACGGGTAAAGGGGGATCTAATTGAGGTGTATAAACATCTCAAAGAAGCCATAAGTCCATAAAACTGTGAGGGCAAATTTTTTTGGAGCAAGAGTTGTGAACTCGTGGAACAGCCTACCAGAGAGTGGGCTGTTTCAAGACTAAACTTGACCATCACTGGAGCAGGTTCAGATACATTCAGGAGCCGGTGCATTCTCAGTACTTGCCAACAGTGTGTAACAGAGACGTGACCGATCGCCCAAGCAGCTAACGAGCTGATCAGTGGTGAAGAGGATAAAAGTGAAAAGCAAAAGTACATAATTATAACATGTATTCCACCATTTGTGTCAAGTGTATGTGTGTGAAACAGCTCAATACAGCGTTTGAATTATTTACCATCAATGCTCCTGTGTAATGGGATATGAAGGCTGGTAATGTACCTGGTTGGCTCAAGTCCTGGAGTAGTATCATATGAAGTGAAATATGTATCATCATCATGAACGTTTTATGGCCATTTCAATGTTTCCTCTTTATACTTTTTACTTTTATCCTCTTCACCACTGATCGGCTTGTTAGCCACTTGGGCGATCAGTCACATCTCTTATGCACTGTTGGCAAGTAGTGGAAATGCACCGACTCCTGAATGTATCTGAACCTGCTCCAGTGTTGGTCAAGTCTGGTCTTGAAAGGGATCACACTCAGTGCTGTCACAACACTCTCTGGCAGATTGTTCCAAGAGTTCACAACTCTCAATCCGAAAAAGTTACCCCTCACAGTTTTCTGGGCTTGCGGCTTTTTAACCTTGATCTGTGACCCCTTGTGGGGCGAGCATCCGTTAGTTCCAGGTAAGGGCACTCAACTGAGTAATGCCCTTTGAGATGTATATACACCTCAATTTGGTCCTCCCTTGCCCATCTGTAGTATAAGCTAGGCAATTTCAGGTGTTCTAATCTTTCAGGGTAGCTGAGGTGCCGAAGTGCTGGCACTAGCCTGGTGGCCCTCCTTTGGACATTTTCAATCAACTGACAGTCCCTAGCATATCTCGGGGACCAGACGAGTTGACAGTACTCCAGACAGGGAAGCACCTCACTCTTGAAGATCGTTACGAGGGACAGACCGTCTAGATATCTGAACGACCTTCTTATAAGACCTAATAATTTAGTTGCCTTGTAACGACCACGGTCATACACGTCAGTTAGTGCCAAAATCAAATGATTCATATTAAACTAATAGCCCACAAACATGAAATTCTGCTTCCGTTTGAGTCCTCCATCTGAGGAGTCCATTTTCTCATCACTTCAAGACGCCTCAGCCCTCAGTTATCTCATTTTCTCTGACTTACTGAAACTAACCTCTCTATAAAATGAATTTGAATGTGAGAGAGAACACCCTTGTTTTGAGTCAACTTAGATATGTCTGTTTACAGTTGGAACATTCAAGATCCATTGTGAGTGGTGTTGAACGCTTCAACTATCCTTATTGTTAGTAAAACGTGTCAAGTAAGTGAGTGTCGAGTTTGCCAGCTAGAGTGGCATATTTTATGTCGTCCGTGGGGATATCCATGAGTTTCTGATCGCTCGTGAAGTTATATAATTTTGTCGCCCAGACATCAGAGAATCTGATGTTTATAGTTAAGTTAGTGTCAGTTGTCTATTTAAGAAAGTCATTAATCTCCTGAGCTATTCTGTCAACCTGTATAATCTCCAAGATCTAACGTCTCCCCGTGAATAGCTCCTTGTTCGCCTCAGGCCTGAGCTCGCAGAATTAATGTTATCAACGTGTATATTCCGCCTTTTCCTGGCAAGCTCAACCTCTGATTAGATTATATGAACAGACACAGGAAATTACCCTGATCAGGAACACCGGAGTTTATAATTAAGTATACGGTGATCCAAAATGGTAGAGAAGGTCTGTTGTGGGTAAGATCGACCTTTCTGGTATGAATACGGAGGCCCAAGCTGCCCCGCGGGTGCACGTATATACCTCTACACGAGGGAGAATCACGCAATCGTGAGTCTTCCTCAACGTCTCTCCAGGTATGTTAACGTGTGTTCCCCGCCGCCTATTAATTCAGTTTAACTTAGTCAATTTTGTAAATATCAGTGTTCATGTTTTAACATAGTAACTTCTATGCCAATTAAGTCGAGTAACGTAGAGATTTAGGTATCGTCAGGACCGTTGCCAGACGTATGTTTTGTATAGTTGAAGTTAATTATTGACGCATTCGCGACTCTTCCTCAACGTCTCTCCAGGCCAGTGTGTTGAGCTGAATACTCATCGGCTACCGTAGGTCGGTAGCCAGGTTGGACGATGCCATTAATTCAACAGGATTAAACTGGGAAGTCCTTTTCCTGCAACTCAGGCGCCAGCTCCCTTGGCATGTGTCGGTCTACAACCGACCCCCTAACAGCGATCTTCATTTGTTATGGAGACACCCGGGATATATACCCTGAGGCACTCCTCACGGTTACACGAGCCTAAGTATTATTGTATCTTGATTGGGGGATTAACTAACAGAAATATGGAAATCCCAGGTTAAGTAGTGAGCCCATAAATGTTGATATTACCAGGAAATATGTTATGAGAGTTGAGTACATGAACTGAAGGAAACGTATCATGTTCATGCCGATAGAACGTGAGGTTATAAGTTGATTTGGGATAGTGTCAAGTGAGTCATATTATCCACTTGCAGTAACAATGGAATAATTTGTTGATTGTTAAATGTTGTAACCAAGTATTGAAGATGTAGTTTGTTACCTATAAAAGTAAGACCTGCAGGCCCAGTGTTATTGACAGTGTGTAGTAATTTCTGAATCTTACTTGTCAAAGAAATAATACAACAGTTGTCTAATGAAGTAATGAGTTATAGTTGTTGAATGGTATAAGTACTTGGAGTTGTTTAATGGTATAATAAGTATTTGGAGATGGTTAATGAGGTAATAAATTCTTGAAGTGTTTGATGACTTAATAAGTTAATTTGCGGTTCTGTTTTGTCTGAGTGAATCTAAGATGCATCTTAGCCACTCACTGTGTTAATAAATATTGAATTAGTAATCTACGAGTATCACCACTCTACTCCTTGTAAACATTGGTTCCCAGAAAATAATACTTACTCACGTGCCTATACATCTACCACACTACCCAAAAACTTTCCATGAGTTATGTTATATAATGAAAAGTCTGGGTGGTGGCAGCTACCCTTTGTAAGTATAAAAAGTGTTGCACTAAGAATAACATGGTTCCCCAGACTAACCCATGTATAAGAATAGACGTAAAACAGAGTATACTTCAGAAAGGTAAGAACATTGAAACTGAGTAAATATAATATATATGAAAGAAATGAAAGACTTGGAAAGTACAAGAAAAGAAAGATAAGACATGTATGTACCGAACCGTACATTGTGGAACTAATGACACAGCATAGAAATTATTAAATAAATACATCATTACAGTTTAATATAAAGAACATACATAACTGAGAAGAGAATTACTTGTATAAGAATATAAAGTATATTTATTCATAAAGAATTGAAGAATAATAACAGGAAAGAATATCTGGATGGTAAATTATAAAATGAGAAGAACTCGGCCCATCACAGCCTGATTCACCTTCTTCTTGCAATGGCCCAAGAAATTCAGCTCATTGTCAACATACACACCTAGGTCCTTTTCACATTCAGTCTCAATTAATGCAGTTTCTTCATTCCGTTGGGACATATGATACACCCCCTTACAGTTGGTACATCCCAGGTGCAGCCTCTTACACTTCGTGACATTGAATCTTAGCAACCATATCTTAGACCGTTGTTGAAGCTTTTAGAGACCTTTCTGTAGCTCTTCACAGTCTGCTTGGTTCTTAATTTCCAGAAATAACTTGGCATCATCCGCAAACATTTGTATGGAGGAATGTACAGCGTCAGATATGTCATTTATGAAGCAAACAAACAACAGCGGGCCTAATACACTGCCCTGTGGTATCCAGCTTGTGACGGGTGCACAAGATGCTTTTGTGCCATTAATCACCACACACTGCTTGCGGTCATGTAGAAAGTCTTCAATCCACGCTAAGACATTTCCCCGAATCCTGTACCCTTCCAGTTTAATTTTTAGCCTTTCATGGGGTACGCTCTCGAAAGCCTTGGCAAAATCTAGGTATAGGTTGTCAATATTACCACCCTGTTCCAGAATATGGGTCCAAATATCCAGTACTTTGAGCAATTGTGTTAAGCAGGAGCTCCCCAGCATAAAACCGTGTTGGCAATCCTTTATAAGGGTGTTTTGTAATAGATGTTCCATCATGGCATCTCTTATAATGCTCTCAAGTACTTTACATACTATGCTGGTCAGGCTCACCAGTCTATAGTTGTTCGTGGAGTGACAATCGCCCCTCTTGAAGATAGGACTCACCTAAGCCATTTTCCAATCACTGGGGACCTTTTGCTCATCCAGGCATTTACAAAACAGGATCTTCAGGACCTCAGCAAGCTCGTTGCACAACTCTCTTAGCACTCTGGGATGCACCATGTCAAGGCTGGGACTCTTATGAACCTTTAGCTTTGACAGTTTATTTCTTATAACCTATTCTGTGAACACAATGTGGGTCAGTGCTGTGTCGAACCATCTGTCCTCAAACACAGGTAGGTTAATCACATCCTCTATTGTGAACACCAAGGTAAAAAGAAGCTTTGTCCTGGTCAGAATCTGCATAACTACCATCTTCAAGCCTCAGGTCTGATACTTCTAATCCGCATTTTTAATTTCGACTTTGCATAGAAGTAAAACTCTTTTGGGTTTGAATTTACCTCGCTTGCAACCAGCCTCTGGAACTCCTTGTCAGCCCTTCTACACTCTGACTTTGCTTGGTTCCTTGCTCTTGCATACACCCTCCTGTCCTGCTCATCGTTTGACTTAACCGACGCCTTGAATTTCTGGAGTTTCTTCTTAACTTTGTCGACCACCGCATGGTTCATCTGTAATTAATCACACCAATAAGTGAATGAGAGCACTCATTCAGTTGCATAAACACTATTACAGTACAGTACAGTACTGTACTGTACAGTATTAATTCCACAAGAACTTGTTTCAGCACCAGTCTTACACCATGCCTGTTCTACATCAAGCTGGTTGGACCACCTCATCTAATTTTCAAGACTGTGGAATAGGCAAAAATGTGGATCCAAAAGGAAATATGAGACAATATGCCAAGTGTAGAAAATCTAAGCTGAAACTTTACCTTACCGTATAAACAATTTTAAGGATAAGATAATGTATTTACATGTTTTATATATATATATATATATATATATATATATATATATATATATATATATATATATATATATATATATATATATATATATATATATATATATATATATATATATATATATATATATATACATACACGAGGTGTGATCCAAAAGTTCCCGGATTGGCTTCATAAAATCAATATTTTTTTAAGATATTACAGTGAAACTTTAGTCACCCTTAAAATATTCTTCAGAGGCCTCAATGCAGCACTGAATCCCCTCCTCCCACTTCTGGAAGCAGATCTGGAAGTCCTTGTTGGTGAGGCTGGAGAACACCTTCTGCAATGTGTCCTGGATCTCCATTCTGTCCATGATCTTCTTCCCCTTGAGAATCAATTTGAACTTTGCAAACAGCCAGAAGTCACAGGCGACCAGATCTGGAGAGTATGGAGGACCACTGGGATGCCATGCTGTTTCCGAAGTTCAAGTGTAGTGTAGTGTAAGGTGTGCAGTGAAACACAAGGAAAAGCACCATTTAACTTGCTGTATGCTGGAAGATGGCATGTTAAATTGAAATCACAAATACAAGATAAGAAAAGATTTAAAATGCAACTCAATATGGCATTATGTTTCTTACTGATTAGTAGAATGCTGCTGAACATCTGGATGATCTGTGTTATTCATACATAGCCGCTTCTGTTGGCTTTCAGAATCATCCTCATCTACATAAGGGCGCTTTGGCGTCCTTGTGTGTTGAGGCTGGGGTATGGGCTGGCTACAGACATATGTATCCAAATTTTGTTGTGTGTCGCGTACATCATCATCCTGTTGTTTTTCTTTACTGCCATGTTCTTGTGGTGAACCATTTTCATCTTTCTCCGATTGCCCGAAGCCAAGACCCATGATGATGTCGTGTAGTTGACTCTCTGCCTGTCAATATCAGAATCAGTAAATAAATACCTACATACACACACACACACACACACACTGCTCTACTCTAGTATGTAACATATTGTATCTTTGAACTGTACTGTATAGTCATCTCTGGTATTAGGTCCTGGGCTTCTGCTGAGCCTTGTGATTTTGCTCTGTATGCTAAGTACAGGTACCCGGTATATGAATCATCTAGAGTTGGCAGAGACCTGCCCCACTAGAGGTCATAGTCTCAGACAGGTACAGATACTTTCTGGACCTACTACATCCCCAGTATACAGTAAAGTACTTGCCGCAAGTGAGTAAGAGAGATGTGACTGATTGCCCAAGCAGCTAACAGTCCGATCAGTGGTAAAGAGAGTACAGTAGTACTGAACAATACTGTACTGTATAGTAAAAACTGATATGTTACTATCTCTGAATAAATAAAATAAAATACTTCAAGGTCTTATGGCATGCTTTCATTTGTCAAGTTAATATCATCATAATTTTAAGATCCCTTTATCACTGATGTTATGACTAGAATGTTGTTATAACCTCTTTCAGTCAGTCTTGGTTAAGTGAATATAATGTTTACCACTCACTGTATACCTGCAATTTATGTACAGTTTGTATATCAGTATACATGTATGGTCAGTACATTGTTTGTATACCTGCATAGTCTATGTACAGTTGCCTCAGAGTTCCTTTACCCCCTTGTGATGGCGTTTATGTACGTTTAGGTATTAGGGAGAGTTTTATCCCATTTTGTGGTTCAGGCATAATATGTGATGATAAGTAATGTTATTAGTATATCCCAACCATATACAGGGTATGTATAAATCAGAAATAGATGCCAGATATTGATAATTGTTCAAGACTTTTTACCCTGACTGTACATGTGGCAGCGACACAATACAGTAGCCCCTCGGTTAACGAATTAGCTCCCATAAGGATTTTCAGTTCGATTAACGAAATCCTTACGACAAACACGTTTTGTTGTGCGCATCAGCTGATCGGCTAGTCCGCCAATACAGTAATTGGTTCTATGTTTACATTAGTTTCCAGTGAAGTAAATATCAAGAAAGTTGGTCTCTTGAATATTTCTGCATTTTTTATATTAAAATTATTGGTCATTCTGAAATTTAGTTAACATACTCGACAATCAGCTGTAGTTGTTTGATATGTAAACAAAGCTGCCGGTAATACGACATACACAGTATACTGTACAGTACAGTAATCTATTTAGTTCATATTTAATGTTTTGTTAATTCTATTACTGGTATACAGTACTTTTGTACATGTATGAACTTTTTCTGTGAGTTGGAACCAATTACCCAATATCCCACAGAAATATTGTAATAGATTCGGTTAACGAAATTTTTGGTTAACGAACGAATCTGTAGAAAGAATTGTGTTCGTTAACCGAGGGACCACTGTACTACAGTCAATATCGGTAAAGGAATGAATCCATAGTAATCGTGTAACAATAGAGCTGATTGGTGTAACATTTTCCGAGACAATTTTGCTAGGAAATATTTTTTTTTTTTTTTTTTTACGTTCATTAAGCCACTCAGGCACAGGTAATTTTTAATGACCCACATCAAGGCCTTGGGGGCGAAAGTATAATAAAACAACAACAATAATAATAATAATAATAATGATAATAATGATAATAATAATAATAATAATAATAATAATAATAATAATAATAACAATAAAATTAATAATAATAAATAACAATTATAATAAAATAAAATATTAATACTATTAATACAAATTATAAATAATAATAATAATGAGCCATAAATAAATTTAGAAAAAATGATGAGGCAGAAAGTCAGATCAGCAACCTGGGACTTGGTCACAATTTTCGTGATGCCATATGGCAGCAGGGTCTACCATTAGATAACACATTATGCTTCCAATATCTTCCCAGGCGGTATTACCTCCCTGTTTGGTAGCTGCCTACTACCTACTACCTATAATAAATAGATGTTGGAATATAAACTGAATATAAATAATATATACATACAGTAGATGTTTCTTATAAGGAAGAATACCAGTATGAGTGATAAGGCTTTAAAAACAAAACATGCAGTATACTGTACGAGGAATTTTTTTTAATTAATGATTATTGTAGACCAGGAAACTTCTTCACACAGGGACATTAGGATCTTGGCAAATCACACAACGGATCATACAATGGTTCAAAATACTGAAATCCTCAGAACTCATAATACAGTGACCCCTCCATTAACGAACTCAATCCGTTCCAGAAGGTCGTTCGTTAACCGAAAAGTTCGTTAACCGACACCATTGTTTCAATGGGTTTTTGGGTAATTGGTTCCAGCTCACCGAAAATTTCCTAAATTCAACAAAAATGGTAGAAAAGTTCACTTACTTTGAGGTGTGTATGTAGAAGGCTCCTGGATGATGATGATGGTATTTAGAATGGGGGTGGAGGAGAAGGAAGAAGAGAAGGCATTGGGGTACAAGAGAAGTCACCCCATGGCGCCATTTCACCCATAAAATTTTAGCGTTCTGGTGTAATTCAAGATTATTTTCTTTAAATCAACACTGCACTGCATTATATATTGTCAATATGTAAAATATATTTCAAAATGACCAATAATTTGCTTGGAAACACAGAAAAAAAGCATTCAGTTGAAGAGTCTCAAGCAAGATGTTACCTCCAGTGAAAACAGAGAGAGACTAACTCCTGTTTGCTGTGTTAAGAGGCTGGATGCCGTGCATTAAACTAGTCACTTTAACTTCAATTAAGTTCAATAATTGTTAAAATGACTAAAAAATTGAATATTAAACTTTTAAAATTATTGAATAGTATAAACTTCTTGATATTTACTAAAATAGTAAGGAATTTAAGCCCTAGAACCGATTAATGTATTGGCGGACTGATACTAAAGCTGGTTGCCCGGTCAGTGCAAGCGAAAACATGTTGAGGTCGGTTCGTAAGAACTTCGTTAACCGAATTTTTTTTCGTTAACCGAATTGAAGATCCTTATGGAAGGCAGTTCGTTAATTGAAATTACGTTAACCGAGGTGTTCGTTAAACGAGGGGTCACTGTACTGTATGTGTAGATTGCTTCATGCATGGTGTATATTATAATAATACTGTACTAAGCAATACAGCAGAAAAGGAATAATATATTATAAAAATATGAATTTAATATACTATAGAAATAGCAGTGTGTCTGCGTATCTGTCTGTCTGTTCTGACCAGCCGTAACGGCACAATCGTTTTTCATCAAACTTGGTGGAAAAATTGCAAAAAATTCATAGAGTGGAACAAACCTGGTTCCATGTCGATGGTTTCTTTAGGAAGGCATTAATTAACCATTTTATTTACGCTGGAAAACGATGCAAGTCTACGGACTTGGCGCACCCTCATTCGCTGTATGCTGTCAGCCGGACGGCGGTTGCGCGCAAGCCAAGCACGAGAGTTCAAGCTTTCACCGGGCACGAAGGGCCCTCGATCACTTGTACATGTACAGTGAGTTCTGCTATAACGCGTGTTTTGATAACGCGAATTTGCTCTAACGCGATTTATGAATTCGGAACAATATTTGTATAACGCGAACGCTTGTTTGCTATAACGCAATTTTTGCTTACTATTTCTCCAATTTTGTGGTATTAACTGTGAATATGGTAAAGAAGAATATCTCCAAAAAGCGTTCTGATGATAGAATTTCCGGTGATTATCGTAAAAGAAAGGATATAACACTTGAAGAGAAGCTCGATGTTATCAACCTCAAAATCACCCTTCTCCCCCATCAAGTTACATTCATATTTTTTCAAGGTAAAGTGTTACATTTACTGTATGATTTCATTATTAGATATGAATGTAACATTTATTTAGACTGTGCTATCCTTTGTGTTAGGCTAACTACTAAATTTTTTCGATTTCGAGTAATCTGCACCTAACCCTATTTTCTCCATAAGCCCTGTTATTTCTATTATGCGATTTTCTATGACACGATATTTTACAAGAACACAATTATCGCGTTATAGCAGAACTACCTGTACTATATAAGGATGTACAGTATGCATCAGAGTAGGTTTAGCATAGCCATGAGCTCAGTTTGGTCAGTCACCCCACTTCTTCATTCCAATAAAATACCCAACTAGGTTTCACTGGAATAAAATCACCTGATCCTACTGATTTGAATTGTTCTATAATTATTAATATGAACATTAATGATTTTGCTGTCTGTGTAATTCTGGTATTTTTTTTAAATAACTGACAAAAGTCTTCATAAACCATAATAAAGGAGTTAATACTGCAGGGGGCAGAGGTCCTTCCTATGCTGACTAAAATCATCTGGCATTAACCAAAATAAATAGTCGGGTGTTAGCCAAAACAAACATAAGCATGTTTGAATAGATTATCAAAAGTTCACTTACACACAGAAGGGATTAATATTGAGGTAGCAAATTCAGCATGAGAGGCTCTGTACTAGGGGAGAAATTGTCGGCACAAGACAGTCTTCTCTTTCTATTGTTCGCATCGCTAACGAACTTAGAGTTTCCAAGTCCACGGTTCCGACCTTGGTGCAGGAAATGGAAAGAATCAGGGAACCTTAGAGACCAACCAAGGTGTGTTGGGCCCAGGAAGTAACTACCCTAGGTAATGACAGATGACTCCTGGAGGCAATTAAACATTCTCCAATTACAAATGCAGCTGAAGAAGCTTGGATTCACCATGGGAAGACTTGAATGTGCACACCGTGTGAATGAAGGTCTTGACTACTGAGGCTGGGTTATCTCGATGGAAAAACATATCAATTTTTTATTTTTTATACTTAGCGGCACCACATTCAGAGATGAAAGTGTTTGCCCATTGGAGTGAGCCATCCTCCTACAGTATAGAATCCTTGTGTTAAGCAAGCACCCACACAGTGACACCACTTGAATACACGACTGTCAATACAGTAGATAGATACAGTGTAATCTGTGGCAAGAATACAGTTGTCTATAGACTAAAAGACAGCTAATGGTTTAAAAAATGACTGTTAAGATTCAATATCACAAAGTATAAGAGGATGTACCTAGGTCATATCAACAGTAAGGAGGCATATCACATGTCCCAATGGGAAAAGAACCTGGTTGTATATGTTGACAACAAACTAAAGTTCTCGGGCTATTGTGAGAAGAAGGTGGATCAAGCAACCAAGCTAGTTGGTCTTTTAAGAAGGTCATTCAGATATCTAGACAGTCCATCCCTCGTAATGCTCTTCAAGAGTGAGGTGCTTCCCCTGTTTGGAGTACTGTCACCCCATCTGGTTCCCGTGATATGCTAGAGACTGTCAGTTGATTGAAGATATCCAAAAAGAGGCAATCAGACTGGTGCCTGTGTTATGGCACCTCAGTTACCCAGAGCGATTAGAATGCCTGCAACTGCCTAGCTTATACTAGACTGGCAAGGGGTGAATTAACTGAAGTTTATAAACATCCCAGAAGCCACTACTCAGTCGAGTGTCCATACCTCAAGCTGGCGGACGCAGGCCCCACTAGGGGTCGCAGTTCAAGGTTTAAAAGCCTAAGTCCCAAAAATTGTGAGGGCAAATTCTTTTCGGCTAACACTCCGGATGTTCTATGAAATGAACCTAAGCGTTCGTGCTACTCGTTCCACCTTGAATTGAGTAGAGAGAGTGCCTTGGCTTCATAAATCAAACTGACCAATATGTTAACCCTTTCAAATTCATCACCCCTGGAGTTCCTGATAATGCGTCTCACAGCTCTTATTCCAATAGGATTTTTATACACAGGTTCCTTCATTAGTCCTGCGAGTTCCTCCTCCAAAAATAATGGAAGAAGTACAGGGTTATGGACAGTTTTCAGACCTGAGGTTATTAAAGAGACCACGCTGGCAGTCTGGGGCTCAATCTCCCCATTCAGGCTTCCATCACTATCGGTCTCGCTCTGGCTACTCACCACTTGGTCAACAGGGAAGCCCTCTGTTGTGAGGCAACTTCACGATGGCATGAAAGGCAGTGCCCTGCACAATGGCACTGAGTCTGGAGTTCTTCCCCATCCAAAGGGGGCACCTACTCTGTTTTTCCATTTTCTTGGCTGCCTTCCTTACTCGTGCCAGTGCCAATTTAGCCGTCGGGGTGGGAATTGAGTACCAGATGAAGGGTGTTTTCAACATAAGATGATTCCAGGCAGGAACAAAGATGTTGGCAGCTTCCATTACTGAACTTCAGTATGCAGAAACCTACAGGAGATCTTGAACACCTACGCAGATGCGCATGAACACTTCGGCCTTGAGGTGATTGTACGTAAGGCTGGGGCCGCACTGAGAGCGGGCAGGCGAGAGCAGGCTGGTGCAGAAGACTGCAGCATTGTAACCCATAGACGTGGCCGCACTGGCAGCGGGCATGAGCTGGCAACAACACTTGCCCGCTCTCAGTGCAGCCGTGGCCTAAGACTCAGATTCTCTTTCAGCCTACCACTGGTTCAGTCACACCACCATCTATCCAGCTTAATAGTACTACCCTCGCTAATGTTACCTACTTTCGGTATCTCAGCTCCCACCTGTCCACCACTGCGGACATTGATGAAGAGATTCACGATTGGATCATATGTGCATCTCAAGCCTTTGGCAGACTCCGTACCCATGTCTTCAGCTGTAGGGACCTGAAATTATCTGCAAAGTTGCATGTATATCGAGCAGTGGCCCTCCCCACCCTGCTATATGGCAGCGAGACATAGGTCACATACAGTGGGCACCCCAAGGCACTTGAAAACTTTCACCAACGTAGTCTACGTTCCATCCTCCGAGTTTGCTGGGAAGAAGAGAGAACAAATACCAATATTATCGCTGACACAAACTGTAGGAGCGTTGAGGCTACCATTATCCATGAACAACAATGCTGGACTGGCCATGTTGCCTGCATGGACGACAGTAGACTGCCAAAGCAGTTATTTTACAGTCACCTATCAAATAGTAAACACAATGCTGGCGGGCAACTGAAAAGGTATAAGGATAGCCAAAAGACAAACCTGAAAAAGTGCCAAATCGACCCCCTCACCTGGGAGACGATTACTCCACACCACAAAGCTTGGAGGAGCACCACACGAGAGGGTGTCAATACTTTCGAGTTGGCCCGACTGCATACCGAGGCAGACAAGTGCCAACGCCGGAAAGACACTGCCGCCGCCCCTCCTGCTCTAGATGTAGCCATTCACATGTGCAACATCTGTGAACGACCCCACCAGTCCCATATCGGCCTCTATAGTCACCACAGAATTCACCAACGTAGGTAACATCCTTAATAATTCATTTCATTTCACCATAGCTCTTTGATCGTCATACTCGATTTCGAGTGACAGCAAAGCAGTGAAGTAGTAGTAGGTCCTGATATTTTGTACCAGTGTTAACGTAATGTTTACTAAATCTTGAGTAAACCCCAAGGAGTGGTTCATGAATTGTTTTTTTAAAGTGTTTCAGATACTCATCTTAATTTTTAATAAATAATTATAATGTCTTGTATGCTATTATTATCAGCGCAGCATGTATCTACTTCTTATTCTTCCAAATAATTTGTGCCATTGAATACAATAGACCCCACGAGCCCAGCCCTCGCCTCGCTGCTACCGAATGTTTAAAAGATTAATGTTAGGTTATACAGTATATTCTGATACAAAATCTGAGTGGTGGCAGCTGCCTGGACAGTAATATAGTGAAAATTGATGATTGTGCAGTAACCTAGGGTTTATGAGGTAATCCCAAAGATCAGAATGTATGGGAAACTAAGAAGTAAAATAAATATAATATATATAAAAAGAATGTAGAATATACATAAAAGAAAATAAATAAAGAGAAACTAAAAGGAATAAACAATCAGAAATGTAAAGAGGATATAAGTACACTTAGAAAGTGTAAAGAAATTATAGAAAAAATAATAATAAATCCCCCCACCCCCCTTACAACAGATAGGTGACCGATCACCCAAGCAGCTAATGAGTCGGTCAGTGGCAAAGAGGATAAAAGCAAAAGTAGAAGGGCCTGTATCATGGAATGTGGAGCTGTAATCATGGCAAACTGGCAACTGTGGGGATCGTCTTCACGGGTGTGCTCAGAGCCATAATCAGAAAATTTATCTTAACATGATTGAGGAGGGTTAAATATTTAGCATTATATTAAGGCAGTGAGGAAGCCCTCAGTTTCATCTCTGGGGCAAGGATCCCCCTTTCTCCCCCACAATCCCCGTTCTCCTGCAGTCTAGTGCCCGAAATTGTCCACCAATCAACTCCATCGTTACAAGGCTACTACCTCTCCATGCATAAGTTTGGTATTGCGACGTTGCCATATTCAAGGTAGGAGGACAGCTCAGTGAAAATACAAATTGGCAACATTTTTACTTGGCCCCGCCCCGTTTGTTGTCTGGTTTCTCGAATAAGCAACTTTTACGAAATTTTTCTGATCCAAATTTACGGGAAGAAAAGTAATAAATTGGACTTTTTTGTACACACACACACACACTTTCATGGTACTTTTACTTGATGGAAGTTATTGAGCCTAAATTTTATAATTTACGCTGATATAAAAAATCGGATTTCGAAGACATTCATTATAATTGTGTGTATACTTACCTGATTGCTCGCGCGAGTGTTTCGTGGCTGGCTTGATGCCATGAAGTCGAACATTTAACTGTTAATAAGTGTACACAGGTCATGAAAGGAGAAAGTTTATGCAAGTATTATTGTTATTTTCATTGTTACTATGATAAAAATTATAATGATCCGACCTTTAGAGCACTGTGGGTGATGGCTGCAACAGACTCCTCGTGTTTGGCGAGGAAAGGGATGTGGAGCCGTCTAACACGTTAAGACAAGTCTGATCACGCGTCACCTAGGGAGGATACTTGGTGTTGCGCCATCTCACACCATACTGTAACAATTCCCTTACATCTCAATATTCTTCATTTGTTAATTATCCCGTGCCTAACACTACTTGTATTGGATCACCTACGATTAGCCCCAAATTTATTTCACCTGATGATTAAGCGGTGAACGGAAATAAAGTTACAGGAAAAAAAGTCACATTACTTGTACGGTGACAACACATTATATATATGATGGCATTGCACGTAGGTTAGGTTAAGTTAGTTTAAGTTAAGTTAGGTTAGGTTGGGTTAGGTCGGGTTTTTTCCGTGCCTTTTTTCCGACTTTTTTTCTCGACTTTTTTTTCCCTGGATTCGATTAAGCACCCTATTGCTACCCGAGGAGTTAAATAAAGTTACATTGGGATCTTAAGGTGAAATAAACTGAGCTATTCTTCAGTTGATCCTAGTTTTCTTGAGTTATAATTGGTTAACACTGTTTGCACACCTGTCTAGTCTCTAAACACATACGATCAATGACAGAAATAGCAACCAATATTATAGAAAAAGTCGAGAATATAAATGACCATGTAAGGAAAAAATATACATTACATTAAAATTTTTCACTAGACATTATTTACGTCGAGAGAATGATTGTGAAAGAGTGATGCAATCATGCGCCTCTCTCTGTGCGTGCATCATGGCAGAGCACCCCCTCCCTCCTTATCCTACCTACCAGTTCAACCTCTAGACGGTCCAATAAACACACTACCCTAACCCCACCTTACGTTGCACCATAACCACCCATTCGTATGTCTCGTAACCATGACAATTATTGCATCACTGATTACTGAATACTTATTCTTGTCATCGTATTCAACACAAAATGAATATTACCGTTATCGAATACTTCCTTCAGTATACACAGTTCTACACGTTCATATATATAAATTTGATCTTAATAATATATACAATCAAATTAATATACAGACAATACGGATCACATGAATATTAGCACCATAGCTTCACTTGAAGATAATACCCTAGCGCTAATATAACTTGACCCACTCTAAATCCCTTAGATAGTGTTAAGATGTTTAATCATCAGGTAATATAAACTGCGATGGCTGATCTCCAAGTGATCCAACAGCCCTGCTATACGCTGGAAGCTGTACGCATGCCTCACAGGAGAGGTGACAGGAGTTTGTTGGTGATAGTACACTGAGTCAAAGTTGTGTCAATATAAGGTCCTTTATACCGTCAGTATCACACACAACTACGTGTTACAATACCACCAATGAGACAGGTATTGATAAATTTTACTTACTTTTTACGTTTATTCTCTTCACCACTGGTCGAGCGTAAACCTACTCCAACGTTAGTCAAGTGGTGTAGATTAATATAGAATAACCTTTTTTTCTATATTTTCAATTTCTTTCCGTTCTTGTTTTTCGCCCCCCAGGCTCCGTTGTGGGTCGTTTGACCTGTGCCCGGGTTGGCTAATTCCCGTAAAAAAAAAAAAAGTCTGGTCTTGAAAGAGCCCACACTCGGTGCCGTCACAACACTCTGGCAGATTGTTCCAAGCATTCACAACTCTCACACCGAAAAAGTTTGGCCCCTCACAGTTTCCTGGGCTTGCGGCTTCTTCAACCTTGAGACCCCCCTGGGGGGGGGGGGCGTCCACCAGCTCTACAGTAGGTGGGGGCATTCGACTGAGTAGTACCCTTTGAGATGCTTATACAACCATGAGTTTCATATTCATTTACAACACCAAATTATCAGTGATTCATATGTCTTGTTTGTCCTTTATATTTAGTTATACTTTTTAACCGAGTTGGGTTTTCATCGGGGGTCTAAATTTTCCTTGTAACTTAAGATACAATGAAATGCATATAAGAAGTGGATTTAAAATGCCATCCTATTCACACTTGACTATACGTTAACCCCCAATACCCTATGAGACCATTGATAGAATACCTAAACGTAAAATTTACGCCCTTAAACGCATGAGTCGACTAGGCACACATGAACTCTGCGTGCTTCCCTGTTGGGCGCTGCAAACACATTTTGCGCTTTGCCATGCACAGGATGCAACGGAGTGCCCAATAATCTAGCCCCCTCGCGGGGCAAATTATATTATAAATCATGTTCAACACACACAGTCTAGTAAAGAATGCCTGGCTCAGGAAATAACTCACCAACGTATAATTCATTATAATTTTCGCCACTACAAGTTCTTTTTAAAACAAACAGTTGCCAGTGTCAATTATTACACCGTAACTGTGATATTGGGAAGACAGCACAAAGACTAAAATAAGTATCTTATCCTTGAGGCAGCGTAGGTGGTATCATAGTAGTGAAGGGTGACAAGTGTCAGTCAGTTTGTGGTCGTGAAGGCGAGTTGAGTGATTCAGATTCAGATTTGCCCCCGAGGGGGCTAGTTTATTGGGCACCCCCTTACATCCTGTGCAAGGTGAAGCGCAGAAGCGTTTACAGCGCCCAACAGGGAAGTATGAAAAGTTCATACTTGCCTTTATGACTCGTACATTAAGGGCGTAAAAGCCTGAAGGGTCATAGGTTCTGTCAAATTACATAAAGTGAGAGAATGATGAGTGTGTGGGGGAAAGTTCCCGGTACATTTTATCTGTTTATGGCAAAGAGTGGCAGGTCCCTAATAATGTCAAATGCCAGGCCTGTGACTAGGAGGAGGGATATCTGGTCTTGGAGGGAAGAGGTGTTGGTAACGGCTGGGGACCTGTAGGAGGAGGTCTTAGGGCAAGTGAGGATGTAGTGAGAGAGGGTGTGAGAGTCGGGTTGCGAGTTGAGTGAGTCATCGGTCTAGCTTTGGCCGCCAGCTGATAAGAATTGCCGGTAATATAGTATATCTCTGTCAGGGGCCTGTAATGTTTTTTGCTAATGTCTCTAAACCTGCGTTATTATATTTGTAATGTGTATGCAAATTATTTCTATACCTACAATGTGTATATCTGAGGATTAAGCACCCTAACTCTACCCGCTGGTTTGGATTAGTTTAGGTTAAATTGTGTTAGATTAACGCTAAATTAATTTAACGAAAATTAAGGTAAGGTTAGCGATAGTTAAGTCAGATTGACGTCAGTATGAGGTTAATGAAGGTCAGCGTCAGTTAGGTTAACGTTGTTAATTTTAAGATAAAATAAGCTGGGGTGACTTATCTTCAGGTAAGCTCATTTTCCCCCTCAGCTTCCTGCACATACAGCATATTTTACACACAAACTGATGCTGCAAAAACTTAATTCCTCACCGGGAAGTGTTTAGTTGTTTTATTTTTAGTTAGTGTATTGATTTTCCCCACTAAATGAATTGGCCGGGACACTTAGTTTACATTTACACAAACACACGCGCACGTTATACCAAGAACGTATTTTGCCATTTCATCTTAAAGATATAAATTCCAGTGGTAGTTCGGAGGTACAGTACGATATATAATTTCCAAAGATGCATATTTTTTTGTTGATAGTAGGGCAGCTTTGGATTCTTTGAACAGTGGGAGTCCAGTCTTTGGACACATATTGGTTCATGTAGAAAATTAGTAAATACAATAAGGAAAAATGGCCATAATGTTCAATTTGTATGGGTCCCTTCACATGTGGGGATTGGTCTTAATGAAGCAGTAGATATAATAGTAAAAACAGCCACGGAAAAGGCAGAGATCGACATAATATGTACTAAACCTTGAAGCAATTAAGGAGCAAATTCCGGAAAATACAATCAATAGAAAATAATTTCAAAAGGAATGAAATATACGCGAAAAGTGAAACAATGAAACATTACCATCATGTTCTCATGAACACAAAATTTACATATGGGAAAGATAGGAGTAGGTGGAAAGATTCAGTGTATATGAGGTTAAGATTAGGATATAAATATTATTGGGAACTTGGAGCTGAGAGAAGTGAACAGGATAAAGAATGTAGAGTTTGTAGAACATCCAGATCCCATACCCTGCCACATTATATACTGGAATGCCCATTGCTTAATGTATATAGAAAAGCCCATATAAATAATGTCCCCAAGCAAATAGAGTGGATGTTTAAAAATAGTAAAATAGATGAAATATTAAAGAAATATAGAAATTTTGCATCTAGAATATAACTATGTACTATAACTGATTATATGAAATATTAGGGATTTATGTGAGTCCTGAGAGGGACATTCCTGGACTGGGGTGGGGATGACTTATGTCACTTCATCCCTTTGAGATGTATTAATGTTTTTTTTGTATCTCAATAAACGTATCAATCAATCAATCAACCAAGTACAAAAACAGTACAGCTATACAACAGTAGTAAACAATAAGGTACTTTGACCAAGGATAACTGACAAAGCCATCAGTTGTTTCTAGTTGTGTCCTTTGCTTAGGCTTCAATACTATTCAATAATATATCTGCAGGAAGAAAAATTATTATTTTTTTATAAATATAGAAAACTTCCACTTGACTCCGTTTCTGTGCTTTATGTCCTTTCAGGTATCACACTATCAAATTCATAACAAAAAATATACTGTATATATAATAAAACAAATAATACACGGCACTTGTCTTACCTTCCTGTGTTTTAGAACTGAGGTTTGTCACATGGCCGGGCTCTTCATTTATTTGATGGTAAACGTTTTAAGCTATTTCTTTACAATCTGTCACTATGATCTGGACATTTCCAAAGCCCTATGAATTACTGGGAAATATATTAAAATAAATCTTTAAAATAACAACAAAGTAAAAGGTAAAAAGTAAACTACGTGCAAGGACAATAAATTAACACTACCAAACACGACCAGCTATCTCTCAACACTGACTACGGCGCCTCTCGAGAACCTGCGACTTATAACAGTAGCGTATCGCCGGTGTCCTTACTCCGCCCACCACACTCACCCCACGTGTTACGCCCCGCCCACCACTCTCCACCTAGGCAACGTTACTTCACTGTTAAGGATAATCAGTTCTGGCTCCTTTTTACGCCGAATTTAATGTATGTATAGATATAACTGTTACAACTGGACAGAAAAGGATGTTATGAAGCATATTTACCGTCGAAGTCACATCAAATTCACACTTTCGTCAGCTAAAAAAACAGACGATAGTTGGTTATAATTTGGTAATAGAAAGTAGAATGATGTCTTGTGTACATGCAATGATAATTTTAATTGGTAATAGTGACAATAACTACTGTTATAAGACTGATATAACAGTATGACGAGACAGTTGATATTATAACAGTATAATGAGATAGCATGTGAGTATATAATACGCTGAGTGAATATGACAGTATGGTGAGATAAAGTGAGACAGTATGCTGATACCCTATGCTATGACAGTATGAGACAGCATGATGAGAGAGTATGATGATACCCCATGATATGGCAGCATTGTGATACTCTATGATATACAGCATGAGATAGTACGATAGCCTATCATACTATCTCATGCTATCATTGATAGGGCAATATGATGACAGTATGGTAAGAGCATGATATGACAGTATGATGAGACAGTGTGATATGACAGGTGGCGTTACTCTGATGAGTTAGTGATGTTTAATGGTTCACCTGAACATTAGCCCCACCAGATTATTTCACCTGATGATTAAACATTGTAACGTTACATGGGGATAGGTTAGGTTTGGTTAGATTGGGTTAGTTAAAGCTAAGTTAGAGTAAGAGAGATTAGGTTAGGGACTCGGTAGATTTGGTTAGGCAAGGGTAGATGAAGTTAGGGTAAAGTGTTATTTTTCGGTCATCCTATTTAAATATAAATAAATTTAAGAAGCCGTTAACTTTCCACCAGTACTAGTGAGCTGTACATAAATAAATTTAATATAATTTTACTTGTAGACAAAAGATTCTATTTTATATGGCAGTAAATATGAAAGAACATAAGAACATAAGAAAATAAGGCGTCTGTAATAGGCCGGTTGGCCTGTGCATAGCAGCTCCTGTCGAGAGTTACTACCACTCTCTATCTTCCATGAATCTATCTAACCTCTTTTTAAAACTTTCCAGCGTTCCAGCACTTACTATAAAGTTGCTAAGCTTGTTCCACTCATCTACCACCTTATTTGTGAACCAGTTCCTTCCTATCTCCCTCCTAAACCTAAACTTATCCAATACCCTGTATTATATTGTGTACTGTACCTACATGCAGTTTTCAGTTCTAAATTTGTAACTTATAAATATTTTGTTCCTATTTCATGACAAAATATGATAAATATTTTAGCCCTTTAGATACTGAATGATCTGTTAAATATACCTACATACGTACTGCATTGTAGTGGATCCTATCCACTACAGTATACATACAGTTGGTCACGAGATCATGATTCGTCCTTATCAGCACCGGACCTCCCCAACACGTCAGTTAGTGGTGCTTTACCTAACATGGCTGCGTTCTTTTTCAACTTTTATGAGTATATGAATGAGCAATTTTTTAGCTTAACAAATTTATTGACAAAGCTTGGAGTAGAGTTTCCCTATTCTGAGTAATTGAGTCAGGTCTTGACACTGAGGGTGGTATTGTAGTGGATTCCTCCCCTACAAACGCTTGTCGCTGAGTAGCCGACCCCGCGAATTCCCCAGTGTATGCCTCGTGGTCTAGGTCAACCAGCGCCGCCTTACATGACGGAGGTCAACTTTTAAGCCACGCCTACCTCCGCTATATAAGACCTGACCTCGTGGTGACCTACCGCTCTTTCTACCTCCACCAACCAGCAAGCAACACCTCCACCTCCTGCCTGTCGGTCCTCGCTCTCGCCGGCGAGCATGGCGACCCACAAGCTGGTCCTCCTCTGAGCACCCTCACCAACCAGCTCTCTCTACATCACGCTTGTAACCACGCTGCCACTTCCCAGCACCAAGCTGCACTGTACATCCAATACAATATGCATACAGAGAGCACATTGTGAGTTTCCTTTCTCCATCCCATCCTGAGTGTGAACCAAATAACCCGTACCCCACAGTAGCACTTCTCACTGCCACTCAGGACAGAGGTTCATACACAAAGAAATACATAATATTCATTAAGTGTAACAGCTATATATATATACTTCATTTTTAGTCCATATAACACGCGGACTTTGAACATATAATCAACGACCTCACCAGCAAGGAATCGAACCCTCGACCTACTGGGTGGGACTAGGGAACGCTTACCGGCTAGGCCACAAGGACAGTAAAAGCAATTCTAGACTTTCCCAATGAGGTTCACGGCGCCATCAGCTCGATGAACAGGCTTTGTGTGAAATATAACAGACCTATATATATATATATATATATATATATATATATATATATATATATATATATATATATATATATATATATATATATATATATATATATATATATATATATATATATATATATATATATATACAGTATATATATATATATAGGTCTGATTCATGTGGGTAATGTCACTGAATGAGCAAGGATGGTACAGCAGTGGGAACATCAATAAGAGAGTCAACAACACAACATCTCACAATGTCACATAACGAGCTAGATATAAATTTACCGACCGTTTCCCAGGGAAGGATTTTATTCTAAAGGGACGACGACCTTGACATTACCCTTGAATGTAAACACTGATATGTAAACACGCCGTTAGCCATTGAATGTTTATTGGAATATAATGAAAAATAAGGTAACAAACCTCTCACAATGAAAGTGAATATTTGAAAATGTATTATAATAGTAATAAGATGATCAAGAGGGTAAGAAAGAATCCTATCCTCTAGTGCACGAGTCATGCCTGACCTGATCCAAAGATATGAAACAACTTACGATCATTACAGGGATTAAAGCCTGTTTGAATAGTATTTAAGGAAAATCTAAATTTATGTAGTACCAAATTCTACTGTTTCACGTCACTTATAGTTCCGCCATTTTATCAACGTAAAGGCTAAAACCTCGGTTAGGACAACAGTGCAACACATCACAAGTTCGTTGGTGATCCTCGTCCTGAGGAATGAATAGTGTGCTTTAGCTCACTCAACGTTATTAACAACCAACTTTTGACTCAGGTTAATAATATGAAATGTTTCATAAGTTGTTCACACTTTATGACTGGTGTAGTATACGGTACTTTAAATGATTTTATTGTAATTGTGTTCTTGGAATTTTCACTAAATTGTTTAATGGATGGAAGTAAAGTCCACTTGGGGGTGAAGGAAAAGACTACCTTAAATATAGAAGCAAAAAATAGTTTGTGGTGTCCATGACTTAAACTGATTATCACAAACAAGCTGGCAGGAGGCACAGAGACTCACCTCACACACGCACAGGTGTTTTAGTACTGTGCTGTAATGTGTACTGGCCTGTGTTGTCATGTCATGTACTGAACTGTGACGCGGTGTAACTGTACTGTGATTTTATACCGTGCTGTGATGTAGTTTACTATAATGGTAAGGTAAAACGAATCTTTAGCATGCGGTGACGATGTACTATACTGTGATGTTGATATGCTGTAATGTACTATGCTTGCTGTGATATTTCACTGCTGTGATTCACTGTACTGTGGTGTGATGTGATGTATATATACTGTAATGTATATACTATGTGCTCTGCTCTTATGTGAAATGTTGTACAGTACTGTGCTAGGTTAAAATTAAGTACTGTATAGGAACTTGGACGGGAAGATACTGTATGTTAGGTTTGGTATTTTTGCAATTACACACCACACATTCCTACCACTAATCTATGATCATATTCGAATAAGACGTCTAATTATATGATAATTTTCATCTATTACATTACCGGCGGAAATGTATAATAATGGAGAAAGCGTATCCAAAATTTTCTCTCTTTTCTTCCATTAATCTTGTGCCATTATCGCCTACCTCACCTTCCACACTGAGTGTCTTCTTCATAAATCATCACGCTCATGTGTTCCCGTACACGTCACGCGGCCAATCAAAGGCGTTTTTGTTTTTGCAACCAATTAAAATGATTTTGGGTTTGATTTGCGGTATTTTTGGCCCAATCAAATTCTAGTTTTATTTTGGGTCTTGTATTTTGAAATTCAAATTCAGTTCCGACCATGGAAGTCTGCGATGGGTGTCACTCAAATTATATGGAGCTGATGACGAGTTTTGGGGGAAAAGTGAAGAAACTATAGCATTTTTTCGATCGCATGGTGTTCTTCCAACCTCAGTAAAGTGTACTAAGAGCAAGACTGAATGTAAATATTGTAAAGACCAACATATGTGGCGTTGTGTAAGAATCTCAGAATCCAACGACGAGCAAGAACCAGGCCAATAAGTTAAGAAATAGGTGATTCCATCATATGGCGAGAGTCATTAAGGTTAGGTTAGGTTTGGTTTTTGTTTTTCTAGTGTTTTTTTTTTTTGGTGTATTTTGCCATGATTATTTTTCGGAAAATGTCCAACGAAAAAAATTCGTTAAAAAAAAAGGCTATTTTCCGCCAGAAATGAAGGTCATATTCGGTCTAAGCACACACAAATACACTAGAAAAAAATATTTTTTACTGTCTCTATACTCAAGGTTCCTAATGCCCGGGATTAGTCTTGTCATTCTCCTCTGAAATCTTTTCAAGAATTCTATATCCATTCTGTATACGGTGACCAGAACTGAACTGCGTAATCCAGGTGTGGTCTCACAAGAGCAAGATACAGTTTTAGGATGACCTCGCTAGGCTTGTAACTAACACTCCTTTGTATGAACCCAAGTACTTTATTAGCCTTGTTACGAGCAAAAACACATTGTTTACTTGGCTTAAGGTTCCTACTTATCATTACTCCTAAATCTCTCTCGCAGTCGGATTTCTCTATGGCATCGTTGTTCATCTGGTATCTGGTTTACCTGTTTACATCTCCTATACTGAGTACTTTACATTTGTCCACGTTGAATTTCATTTGCCATTTTTCAGACCATTCGAAAAATTTGTTTAGATATTCCTGTAGTTTTGTGGAGTCCTCATCAGATTTAATAACATGTCCTATTTTAGTGTCCTCAGCAAATTTGCTTATGTTGCTGTCTATGCCGATATCTATGTCGTTTATGTATATAATAAATAATAATGGTCCAAGTACTGAGCCTTGGGGAACTCCACTTGTGTCATTGCTCCAATGGGACTTAGTGCCATTAATGCTCACTTGCTGTTTCCTGTCCTGTAACCACGCCCTAATCCATTTAAGGATATTACCTTTGATGCCATGTGCTTCTACCTTTCTAATTAGTCTTTCGTGGGGGACGCTGTCGAAGGCTTTGCTAAAGTCGAGATATACCACATCATAATTGTGCTCCTCGTCCACCGATTCGAAAACTGATGAAAAGAATGTTAATAGATTAGTTAGACATGAACGTCCGCTCGTGAAGCCATGCTGGGAATCATTGATCAATCGGTGCTTCTCCAGGTGATTTCAAATAGTTTGAAATGATTGCTTCCAGTAATTTGCCTACTATTGATGTTAGACTGATTGGGCGGTAGTTAGAGGATAGTGATCTATCCCCCTTCTTGAAAATTGGTATTACATTCGCTATCCTCCAGGATTCTGTTACTACACCTGTTTTTAAGGACATGTTAAACAACTTTGCTGAGGGCATACTCAGCTCTTCCTTACATTCCTTTAATACTCTGGCAAATATCTCATCGGGACCCGGTGACTTGTTAGGCTTTAGTTTGTCGATTTGCTTACTAACATTGTTACTAGTCACTACTGTCTCGCTTAATTTGGTTTCTTCACTATCTCTGAATAGAGTCGGTGCCCTGGGTATCATGTTTAAATTTTCGGTGGTGAAAACTGTTGAAAAATATTATTCAAATTATTGCTCATTTCTCTGTCGTTATCACTGAACTCGCTGGTGTCTGACCGTATTGGTCCAATCTTTTCTCGTGTTTTAGTTTGATACATTTGGTAGAATCCTTTGGGGTTTGTCTTCGCCTCCCTTGCTATCCTTACCTCATTATTCCTCTTGGCTTTCCTTATCTCGGTTTTAATCCTACTCGCCAATACCCTATAATAATCCCGGAGGTAAATTTCGCCACAATTTATCCTTCTACCTATAGCCTTCCTTTGGCCAATGATGTTCTTTAAATAATTATTTATCCATTTAGGGTCATTGTTGTCTGATCTGAGTTTTTTGTATGGTATGTTCTGCCTTTGTGCATTGAGTAACTCACTATTTAAGTTGTTGTGGAACTCGGCAATCTCGGATCTCGTTATCAGGTCGGTGTCATCTGTCAGATTCACGGCCAAGCGTGACACCCCCCTCTTTCAGCTGCCTCTTTAAACTGTCAAAGTTTGCCCTTCTGAAATCTGGTACTTTAGTGGAATTTTCCTTACGTCTGCCCTGAAAATCTAACTGGAATCTAATTTCTTTGTGATCGCTGTTTGCAAGTTCATTCCCTACCTCGACATTGCTAATGAGGTTTTCTCTGTTTGACAGAACTAAATCAAGTATATTATTACCCCGGGTGGGTTCGGTTATATGTTGACATAGAAAACAGTCCTGGATCGTCTAGAGAAAATCCTCTGATTCTGAGTTACCTGTAAGGTCAGTCCAATCTATTTGGCCAAGGTTAAAGTCGCCTACTATATAGACTTTGTTGTGTATGGAAGCCCTGTGCATTTCATCCCAGATAAGTCGCTCATTGACTCTTATCAAGGTTGGGAGGTCTATATATTACTCCTGTGATTAATTTTTCTGTACCGTCGATTAATTCTATCCAAATTGTTTCTGTACTCCGCTCAGTTTTTATTTTCTTATTTATTTCACACTTCAGATTATCCCGAACATAGATTGCTACTCTGCCTCCTTTCCTGGTCTGCCTATCGGTATGGAACAGTTTGTAACCCGCAATTTGGTATTCAACCGGTAACTCGCGTGTGTCTAGGTTGATCCACATTTCAGTGAATGCTATTATATCGATTTTTTCGGTACATACCAAGGCCCTAATATCATCCATTTTGTTTCTCATACTTCTACTGTTCGCGTAGTATACATTTAAGTTAGTCGTGTTCTGAGTCCTCCCCTTACCGCGTTTAGTTTTAACTCCGTCTAATTTAGTTTTGTCATCATTCCTAACACTATTTCCCTGTAATCTTTCACTTTGTTTACCCGCTCCCACTGCAGTCTCCTCCACCCCCGTGCTCATATGTTCTCCTAGCAGTTTAAAGACTTCAATATCTTTTGAACCGCCCCCTCTAGAGCCCCAGCCAGGGTTGCTACTCCATCCCTAGACAGGTGCTGTACTTGGATGTGTTGTACTGTGCTCTGATGTGATGTACTGTACTATGATGTTATGTACTGTATTGCACAGAACTTAGATTTATTCGTACTAGAACTATGCAGGTCAGTGATGCTTATTTAAATTATCAAAGACTATTTTCAAAGTTAATTCAAATACTTTTTTGTCTTGGTATTGATTCTGGATCTGGTAAGCTATGGGTGCTGGACAACTCATACCCAAGCAAATCGTACCCATCAGAACATGTCAACTCGTACCCAATTTATGAGATCATGTAGATTCACAATGGAAATGTGGACAAGGTTGATTTTAATATATGTATAGCAATGTGTTTTTTTTTTAGGTATTTATTTGACCTTAACTCTGACAAATTAAGAGTAAATACGTTTTCTCTCTCTCAAAAATATATTGTGTGGCCACATAATCAAATTGTTACATTACTCATACTGGTCTTGTTTCCGTGTGGTCGTGACTTTTTAAACAAATCTAATTGTATGTGGGTTGGCCAATATACTCGCTCTTCATTCTTTATTATCCTTGTTTCATTCTCAATGTTGACATGTCAGAAGAAGAAATTCCTGTCGATGTCAGCCACTTCGTAGAACAATTTCGTTATACCGGAGGAAGTACCAGAGAGGAACCCCGAATTATATACTGTATACTAACTAATTTGTTTCCAAAAAGCTGGACAATCTATGCTTTTGTGCAGGTCTATATTTTGTTGACTTATGATCATTTTAAACTCCCAGCTTATAAATTGAAACTGCAAATCTATTAGCCTGAAATCTGTAAATTACAATAAAGTTATTCTAA